GTTTTCTGGTGGTGTTTTGGAGATAAGAGTCTGGCAGCCTTTCCTGCTGGGGCTGGATCTCAGCCTCCTGAGTAGTTAGGATTACAGGCGTGAACCACCGGCGCCTGGCTTCTACTGATCATTCTTTTAACTCTTTTGTTGAGACAAGGTTTTGTTCTACAGATCTGCCTGGCCTTGAAATAGTGATCCTTGCTACCGCCTCAGCCTTCCAAATACCTGCATCGTCACACTCAGCTTCTTACTGACCTTTTAAAGAGATACTGTCCTGCCCCCTTCTGGATGTATCTGGTTGCTTCCTGATACTGTCATTGGGGTTGTTCTCTCAGACCTCCATAAATGGCGTTTGGGTCTAAAGAGCTGATGATTGGATTTAAGTGGCAATTTGGCAAGGCTAGTCAGAATAAGGATCTAAACCGAGGCATGGTAGTACATGCCTGTATTCTCAGCATTTGGGAAGGAGGGGCAGGAAAATACAAGTTGGAAGTCAGCTTGGACTACATAGCAAGACCATATCTCAAAGCTGGACACTGTGGCTCATTCCTGTAATCCCAGCTACTCTGGAGGGGGAGATCTGAGGATCACACTTTGAAGTCACCTGCAAAGAAAAGTCAATGAGACTCTTCTCTACAATTAAATGGGTGGTAGACGACTAGTCTTGTGTGTGAAAGTCATGTGAGCTTAAGGCCCTGAATTCAAGCCCTAGTTCTGGTACCAAAATATAAAATAAAATAAGCCAGGTGTTGGTGGTTCATATCTGTAACTAGCTACTCAGGAGTTCAAGATGAGGATCAACATTCAAAGCGCCAGCTAAGCAGAAACAGCCGGCGAGACTCATCTCCAATTAACCACCAAAAACAGACGTGGAACTGTGGCTCAGCCTTAAGCATAAAGATAAAACACCTAGCCCGGTGCTGGTGGCTCACACCTGTAATCCTAGCTGAGATCTGAGGATCACAGTTCAAAGCCAGCCTGGGCAGGAAAGTCTGTGAGACTCTTATTTCCAATAAACCTCTAGAAAACTGGAAGTGGTGCTGTGGCTCAAGTGGCAGAGCGCTTGCCTTGAGCTGAAGAGTGCAGGGACAGCTCTCAAGCCCAGAGTTCAAGCCCCACGTCTGACAAAAAACAAAACAAAACCAAAAAAAACACCTAGGCCCTGAGTCCAAGTCCCAGTACCTAGACACACACACACACACACACACACACACACACACACACATACACACACACACACACACACACACACACACACTTTTGAACAAAATTCTCAGAGGAAAACGTTTTTCTTTTCCTGTAAATAGCTAGCTCTATGAATAAGATTTCTACTCAACAATTTGCAACCTACAGTCATTGTGCTGTTATTTTTCCTTAATGTTCACATTGAACCAAACGTAGCCAAAACAGCTCCTTTGACCTTTGAATACTAGTCTTTCTGCTTTCTGCAACACACTGCCCCAATCCCAGGTAGACTTTTTTTTTGTTGGTCATGGGGCTTGAACTCTAGGCCTGCCTGGGTACTGTCCCTGAGCTCTTCAGCTCAAGGGGAGCACTCTACCACTTGAGCCACAGTGCAGCTTCCAGCTTTTTCTATGTAGTACTGAGGAATCAAACCCAAGGTTTCGTGCATGCTAGGCAAGCACTTTATCACTAAGCCACATGCCCAGCCCCCCATGTAGACTTTGAGAGCAGCCCTTTTTCCAAAGAGCCTTGTTCAAGATCTGAATGCTATGTTATGAGCAAGGCTACGAGGATGTGGTATTTCCAATTCAAATTTAACGTTGTTTTTGTTTTTGTTGTTGTTGTCTGGGATGTTGGCCCTGCATTTCCAATACTCCAAACCCACCTCTCATTCTTTGGTTTTATTATTACATTACCTTCCTCTATTATTAGTTTTGTATTTCCTCTCTACACAAAAGCAAGCATATTATATGCACTGTTTTGCACCTTGCCTTTTCATTTAATCTCTTTTTTTTCTTCGTGGTTCATGGGGTTTGCATTCAGGGCCTGGGTACTGTCCCTGAGTTCTTTTGCTCTAACTAGTACTCTACCACTTTGTGCCACAGCTCCACTTCTGGTTTTCTGGTGGCTAATTGGAGATAAGTCTCACAGACTTTTCTGCCTGGGCTGGCTTTGAATTATGATTCTTAGATCTCACCCTCCTTGTAGCTAGGATTACAGGTGTGAGCCCCAGGTGCCTGGGCTGATTCTTTTTTTTTTTTTTTTTTGTCAGTCATGGGGCTTGAACTCTGGGCCTGGGTGCTATTCCTCAGCTCTTCAGCTCAAGGCGACTGCTCTATCACTTAAGCCACAGCGCTACTTCCGGTTTTCTAGTGGTTTATTGGAGATAAGCCTCTCACAGACTTTCCTGCCCAGGCTGGCTTTGAACTGTGATCCTCAGATCTCAGCCTCCTGAGTAGCTAGGATTACAGGCATGAGACACCAGCGCCCGGCTGGGCTGATTCATTTTTTTCTTGGTTCTAGGGCTTGAACTCTGGGCCTGAGTGCTGTCTCTGAGTTTCTTTTGCTCAAGGTTAACACCCTACCACTTGAGCCACAATGCCACTTCCAGCTTTTTTCTGAATAGTTTATTGGAGTCTCATGAAATTTCCTGCCCTGGCTGGCTTCGAGCCGTGATCCTCAGATCTCAGCCTCCTGAGTGGTTAGGATTACAGGCGTGAGCCAAGAGTGCCCGGCTATAGATTTTCAAACATACACAAAAGGAGAGCCGCTTATGATGGGACATACAACTGTATTCCATACTATTGTATTCCAGTTACCTAGGAGTCTGAGGCAGGAGGCCTGGGAAACATAACAAACATAACAAAGATCCTTCTCAAAACAAAAACATCGTGAGAGAGAATAATCCCCCCTCCTCCATTCCCATCACTGGGCTCCAGGACTGTAAGTGCACAGCTGATCTGCCCATTCTTTGAAATCTAGCCATGTAACATTTGGATAATGCAGTAGACAAAGGGTATGGGGTCACACTCCTCGAGGCCAGAGGACTTCAGGTGATGAGGATGAGAGTAACCTACCTCTCCTCCCATCTCCCCATTCACCGAAGTACTTTCTCATGGCAGGCACCCGGAGCATTGTGCTTTTTATGTTTGCTGTCTTTGCTAACAAGACAGTGTGCTGGTGGCTCACTCCTGTGATCCTAGCTACTCAGGAAGCTGAGATGTGGAGGATCATGGTTTGCAGCCAACAGGATAGCAAAATCTTCAAGGCTTCATCTCCAATTAGCCAGCACAATAGTTGGATTGCAGGCATGGCTCCAGTGGTATAGCTGCCAGCTGTTGAGTGGAAAAGCTAAGCAAGAGCACACAGTCCTTTAGTTCAAGCCCCAATACTGGCACAAAAGCAAAGACACAGAACCAGCGGGCACCAGTGGTCTCAGGCCCCAGCTGGGCAGCGGTGTTATAAAGGCAGGAGACTGGTAAGAACTGCTAGAGGGAGCAGTGAGTGTGTACTAAAGGGGTCTGGGAGGAAGGTGGGCACATTGAGGCGCACAGTGTGAGGTGGGGTGCAGAGGCAGACAGTGAGGGTGCAGAGGTAAGAAACTGATGGTCAGCCTGGAGACGTGGTTCAAGTAGTAGAGCACCAGCCTAGCAAGTAAGCCAAGCAAGTCCAAGGCTATGAGTTCAAACCCCAGTTCCAGCAAACAAGCAACCATCACCCCGACACAAACAAAAAGGAACAGGTAGCCTCACAGGCCACACTAACATCTGGAGCCTGCTCGGACCCCAGGAAGAGCTGGGGGTTGGGAGGGTGGCTTTTTAGGCTGCTTGGAACTGGGATGTTGAGTGGGGAGACTGAGGCAGCACACCTCGGAGGCCAGAGCAACGTGCAGTGAGGGACAGGGGAGTGCCCTACGGTGCTAATAGAGGGAACTGTCCAGAGGCTTCTGAGATGACCCACAGGGTACAGATTCCCAGTGCACAGCCAAGGGGATAGGACCGGCCATGACATCATCAGCCAGGATTTGAACTACAGGAAAGGAGTAGGGCACCAGGGCATCCAAGGGGGAGAGAGGGCTAGAAGGCATAGCCAGAGCTGCTGGGCCAGACCCAATTCTTGTCAGGGACCAGTAGTTCTGGTTCCTCGTGCTTCGGACACCCCGTCTCCACAGCACCCATCCCCAGTGGGACTGGGTTCATTCAGATTAAAACCTCAAGCTGGGTGCTGATGGCTCACACCTGTAATCCTACTCAGGAGACTGAGATCTAAGGATCACAGTTCAAAGCTAGCCTGGGCAGGAAAGGTCCATGTGATTCTTATTTCCAATTAACCACCAAAAAAGCCAGATGTGGAGCAGCGGCTCATGTGGTAGAAGTGCTAGCCTTGAGCAAAGGAGCTCAGGGACAGCGCCCAGGCACAGGCTCAACACCAACCATCCAACCAACCAACCCACCCAAATCCCTCAGCCCAGCATGCAAGGCTCTGAGGAATGAACAGCAGTCAGCCTGGGAATGCCGGCTGTCAGCGGTGCTCAGCCCCCAGGTCCCACTGCTCCAATGGGGAAGAGCATCGCAGGGCCAGGGGTGGCGGGAGGACAGCGTCAGGAAGACCCACGTTGGCCCCCACTCACCCCACCAGAGAACCCTGATGGAAGGCGACCTTGTTGCTGGCCGAGCTCATTTGGAGTTTGCGCCTCTCCCTTTGTGTCTTTAGTTTAAAACAAAGAGAAATGGGATTGGCTGACACACCATGGTGTTCACAGCTCATAGTAACTTCAGTCCTCTCCGGTGCCCCTCACGTCCACCCCCAGCCCATGAAGCTCTAGTACCATGATTCCATAGAGGACAGCTCAGACCCCATGTGGGGACCCCAGATGGCACGTTTACTGGGGTTGCCAGGCCGCACTGCCTTCCAGACCTTGGTCCTTGGCCCCCCGAAATCGGCAGGACAGACAGACCTCCACACGAGCCCTTGTGGGGAAGAGTGTGCAGCAAAACTTCCCCCCAACCCCAGGGCTGTAAAATGAAGTCAAGGAAAGGAGGGACTAACTGTGACTCAACTTTTATTTTGGGGACCTTGGCAGCGGAAGCGGTCATATTCCTCAGGTCACCAATGGCACCAGCCACATTCAGGACTGCCTTTGTCGCGGCCACCGGCCCCATGGAAGCAGAGGGCTCTTGGCAGCCCGGCTTCCTTCTCTGACACCCGGTCCTTCCGCTGGAAAGGAAAGGGAAGCTGCCAGAAAGCATGAGGGGCAAATGTCTCCCCTGGCTTCTCAGGCTGGCAGTGGCCACTGGCGCTGCCCGGGGGCTGCTGCTGGGTAGAGATAACGACAGAGGAAGGGTGGTGGCAGGAGCCCTCCCAGGAGCTGGGCCTTCACGGAAACAGTGAGCCACGGCCTGGCCAGCGCAGCCGGTGATTCATCCCCCTGCTGTGTGGATCCTGCTGGCTGCCTCCGCCAGGCCCCCACACCTGGCCCCCTCCCTATGCGGCTGGGGATCTCACCGCAGCCCGATTCCACAAGCCTGCACATGTCCCAGAGAGCTCACCTGAACCCCCAAGGGGAGAGGCCTCGGCTCTTGCCTGAGAACTGGCTGAAATCTGGATTTGGGGTCAAGGAAGCAGACAGCAGGAATGGGTGATCCCTTGTGCAGGACTCCGCCTGTCCATGCTAAACGGCACTCCCAGGGAACTTCTCGGGTCACCCCCGAGCACTGCCGCAGGCTTGTCACTCCACTTCCTCCCAAGGCAATCACCCTGGCCGAGGAGGGCACTTGAGCTTCCCAACTGCCCAACTACGGACTGGGGGAGGGGCCAGCGCACCTGAGATGCCAGGATGTAAGAAAGTACGACTTTTAATTGGGCAAAACCCCAAGAGCTGTGTGGCTAGCTGCCACCCACTGCGCTCCTGGCCTCTGCTATAAAGTCCTTCTGGCCGGAACGCGGTGGAGGCTCAGGCGGCACATGGGGAGCAGATCCAGTCTGACATAGATAAGTGGTGTTCCCAGTGGGCTGGTCACTGGGCGCACAGTCCTGCCAAGGCTGGAGCGGCCCTCGGTCACTGCTTGGCCTTCTTCACAATGGTACCCACAGCAGAGATGACGGTGGTCTTGGAGCCAGAGGCGCTGGTGGTTACGGTGACGACGGCCGGCAGCGTGGCTGTGGTGGTGAGGATGGGCGGCTGGGCGATGGTGGTCACCGGGATGGCCGAGTCCCACTTGCTCTTTCTCTTCTGAGCATCTGGAGAAGAACATGTAAGGGAGAAATCAGGTTCAAGAGCACCAAGAGCAGAGCTCTCTCCCACCGCAGGCCAGAGGTGAGCTTAGAAATATAGGGCCTTAGCCGGGCGCTGGTGGCTCACGCCTGTAATCCTAGCTACTCAGGAGGCTGAGATCTGAGGATCGCGGTTCAAAGCCAGCCCGGACAAGAAAGACCGTGAGACTCCTATCTCCAATAAACCACCAGAAAACCGGAAGTGGCGCTGTAGCTCAAGTGGTAGAGCGCTCGCCTTGAGCTGAAGAGCTGAGGGACAGCACCCAGGCCCAGAGCTCAAGCCCCACGACCCACAAAAAAAAAAAAAAAAAAAAAAAAAAGAAATATAGGGCCTTGGCGCTGGGACTGTGGCTTAGTGGTAGTGCTTGCCTAGCATGCACAAAGCCCTGGGTTTGAGTCCTCAGCACCACACAAACAGAAAAAGCTGGAAGTGGCGCTGTGGCTCAAGTGGTAGAGTGTTAGCCTTGAGCAAAAAGAAGCTCAGGGATGGTGCTCAGGCTCTGAGTTCAAGCCCCAGGACTGGCCAAAAAAAAAAAAAAAGTAGGGTCCTGGCCTGGGAAGCCCCAGGGAGGTTGGCCAGCTGGGGACCAGTTCAGGCTCCAGGTCAGTTCTCATACCCTAGCCTCAGAGAAAAGCAGTGGCAAGGCTGAGTCAGGGCCCGTCCCACCTCCAAACAAGGCCAGGACCCCCTGCTCTGTCCGGTGCGGTCGCATGCTACCTGCAACAGCTGTGCTGGCAGTCGTGGTGGTGGTGGCTGTGGCATTGGTTGTGGTTCCTTTCTTGGTGCCCGTCACAAACTCAATCTGGAGGGGGAGAGAGAAGAATGAGCCCCATGCAGAGCCGTGTCCATCTCCTGTGCCATCGTCTGCTCCCAGGGGACAGGAGTTTGGACTACACAAAGGAGGCACTGAAACTGTCTGGGCTGGGAACACTGGGGGGTGGGGGGGAGAGGCGCCTGAGAAGAGCCTGCAGGGGCTTTCACCATTCTTCAAAGAGCTTTCCCAACAGAAGTGGGATCCCTCCCGGCCTCACTCACGGGCTTCTGCATAGGCCGATTACCCCCACCCGTCACCCCCCTCACATGCCCGGAACCAGCTGGCCAGGCCCCTCCTCCTCACACCCGGGAGGAGGCGGTGCCCCCCCGCACAGGGGAAGGACAGCTCCGGTCCCCAGGTGCTGCAGACACGTCCCTGCAATAAGCCTGGGGTTTGGAAGGGAGAGGGAAAGAGAGAGAAGGGACATTCAATCAAGGGTTAAGAATGAGAACTCCAGACCATCCCCTTGTACCAGTTCCCACATTCCTGGCCTGACTCCTACAGTGGGAGCCAGGGCCTCTGAAGGGCCACCAGCATGTCTAGGTCCTGTAGCCCTGAGAGCCCCTCTGTGTGGAGGTCAAAGGGGCGTTCAGGGTGTCAGGGGCACAGCAGCTGCTTCAAGAAAGATCAGAGTAGGAGAATCCGTTGTCCCGACACCCTGCTTTGTCTCTTGGAGACTCGGATCATAAAGGCACAGCATCCAAAGGATGACATTTTAGTTTAGAGCCAAACGGACGCTCCTGAAGTTCCCAGCCCACACACTAGGGAAGAAGTGGTACTCAAGCCAAGAAATGCACAGATCAGAGCAGACAGGAGTCCCCATCCCCACCTCAGAAGGAAACATCTCTCTCCATTCTGGCCAATGACCCACAGGAGACAAAGCCACAGTATTGGAAGTGGTGGGCAAGGCCAGGAGGACATTACAGAGGGAACTACAAGATACTGAGAACAAGCAGTGGTAGGCCAGGTCAGGAGGCTGGGCCACAGCAAGAAGGCAGAGGACACAGCTGAAGTGACCTAGAGCCTCATTAGGCCATGAAGAGCAGGGGTGGAGAGGAGCCTGGTACTCCTGGGCCCAGCCAGTAGGACCTGTGCACTCCAAACTCCCCTAGAGATCTGTCAGCCACTTACTTTGGTTCGCTCCTTTTTGGCCTTTTCCAGTTTGTCCATTTCAATTTTCTGTGCCTTGGCTAGAGACAAGATAGGGGTTAAAAGAGAGCTTGTACTGAAGGAGCTCCAATGCTCTTTTGGTGGACTGATATGAGCTTAGTATTCTTTTGTATTCAGCGAAATGAAGTGCTAGCCCTGATGCATGAAGCAAAGCCCTGGAGCCAGGGCCTGGGGGCTGTACATCCTGCCCAGAAGAATGATCTACCCCGAGCTCCAAGGGGAGCTGAATCAGTGGGGTCTAATTTCCTCTAACAAGAGAGCTAGGAACCTGGGAGTGTGGCTGAGTGCCAGCCAAGCAAGTATGCCAAGCAAATTCGGTACTGAGTTCAAATCCTTGTATTGGGGTGGAGGGAAAGCTACAATTCTGGAATTTTACATAACATTCTAGAAACTAGTTCAAATTAAGACAAAATCTGTATAGGCCCAACACATTTACAGACCAGGCTGTTGGCCTGAGACGTATGATTTAAAGGCTTCAATTCTGACTTTGCTCCCAGCTTTCCAAGCCATGCACTCACTGGCCTTACACACACACACACACCCTGCCTGGGGCATTGGCACACACGCTCCTGGCCCTTCCATCTCTCTAAATCTTAGACCCAACAGTTTCTTCAGTGGAGCCTTCCCAGTCCTTCAGTGTGACCCTGCCCTGGACTCACAACACCCTTTCTCTTAACACTCATGGGTGTGGGAATGACTGATTCAACCATCTGTTTTCTTTGCTAGGTTCTTCCTTGTAAGCCAGGGCAGGGGTCTGCAATGTTCAAGACTGAGTCATCAGGAGAGCCTGAGGGCTAGAAGTGTGGATTAAGTGGCAGAGTGCCTGCCTAGCAAATCTAAGTCCCTGAGTTAAAACACTAATACTAGCGGGGGAAGATAAGGAATTGGAAGCATGGCTTAAATGCCAGCCATGAGCAAACTAGAGGTCATCTTTTTTTTTTTGGTGCTGGGCCTGAGCGTTGCCTTTGAGTTCAAGCCACACCTTGATTTCTGGCCTTTTTGGTGATTCAACAGACATAAGAGTCCCACAGAATTTTCTGCCCAGGCAAGCTTCACACAGCAGTCCTCCTATCTTAGCCCCCTGGGTAAGCTGGATTACAGGTGTGAGCCACTGGTGCCGGGCAGCATGGATCATCTTTTTTTTTTTTTTGGTCGGTCGTGGGGCTTGAACTCTGGGCCTGGGCGCTGTCCCTCAGCTCTTCAGCTCAAGGCGAGCGCTCTACCACTTGAGCTACAGCGCCACTTCCGGTTTTCTGGTGGTTTATTGGACATAGGAGTCCCATGGTCTCTCCTGCCCGGGCTGGCTTTGAACTAGGATCCTCAGATCTCAGCCTCCTGAGTAGCTAGGATTACAGGTGTGGCCACTGGTGCCGGGCAGCATGGATCATCTTGATCACTGACTGACTGCTTGTGCAAGGCAGATGGACAGGTGGCGGAGGAGGAGATATAAGGAAGGCAGGTTACCTAATGCTTCATAGTAGGAGTCCTCAGACCAGCCATGGGGGTCAAACATATCCTGAAAAACAAGAGTTTACATAGGCTTCAGTTACTAGGTGACAAGTGACAGAGTACAGGGACACAGATGTCACCCCTTATTTCCAGCCCTGAGGTGACCAAAAAGCTCGTGAGCCATGATGTACTTGCTCAGTTGCTGACAGTGGTAGTGGCCCACACTGGGTTCTAACTGGTCTGGTAAGGGAGCAGGTCTGCCAATGGCATTGCCTTGTAGGACTATTTCAGAACACAGGAACTCAAACGACAGAGATGGGGCTGGTGCTCCTCAGTCAGCACTGCCACTACACAGCCCTTCCAATGGCTCCCGGTAAGTGCGGCCAGCATGGGAGCCTGGGGGCCCTCAGCACCCGCCAGCCCCAGCACGTGGGACACACCTTTGGGTAGTTGGTTCCCAGTTCATCAATGGCACAGAACTGGATCAGTTTCTCGTAGATGCTGAAAAGAGATCACAAGCAGTAAGAGGCACTGGTTGGGTTCTGGGTTCCTGCTCAACACGGAAGCACAAGTTCCTGGGGCTGAGAAAATTAAGCCCAGTTCAACTGTTGCAGGGAGCTTCCTGATGGGAGGCCTGACTGCACTGCTTCTGGCTCTCAACCCTCCCCACAAGATGCACTGTCTGTGTGGGGGCCAGGAGGAGGGGGTCAAGGTGATGGCTTCTATTTCCTGTCACACAGGCAGGCCTGACCACACTCAGGCCCATGCAAGTTCCAGGATAGTCTCTGGTGCCACAGAGACTTTCTGGGTGCATCGCTAGTTTGAGCACTAGATGGAGAAAGACCCAGACCAACTTTGTCCCTTAAGTCTCCCACATAGATGCAAAATCTACTTTTTAGTAGAACTTGAAGCATTGATAAGTTGCGTGCTTTGGGAGCACAGCAGTGACCAGAGACTAGCCAAACCACCTTGGCTCCAGCCTAGACCTTTTGGCTGCCCCTCCAGATTGGTTCATGCATTTGGTCTGGATCTTACTGGTAAGCCTCAGCTGGCTAGCAGCTGGCTGTGTCTAACAAGCACTTAGCTAAGAAATCTGGGTGGCAGTCCCTTCAGGTTCAAGTAAGTTCAGAGTTGGGCCTTTCTTTGCCATATCCAGGGGGGTTCCTAGGCCTTTATCCAAACCAATGGCTCAACTTAACCTGTAGATTCATAGAAAACTCACCTGGGGTTCCGAAATTCTTTCTTCCTTTGGATGATGTAGTTCATATCCATTCCCTCCTTTATTTTTCGCTCATAAAGCTTCTGGATCTTGTCCTGTGAAGGCAACAGAAGGGTGTGTATGACAGAAGTCCATCTGTCTAAGCCAGGTGTTGGTGGCTCACACCTGTAATCCTAACCACTCAGGAAACTGAGATTTGAGGATTATGGTTTGAAGTCAGCCTTGGCAGACAAATCCATGGGGCCTATCTCCAACTAACCAGAAAAGAAAGCCTGAACTGGTGGGAAGGGTGTTTTAGTTCCTGAGAACTCAAGGTGATAGATCGAGCACCAGGTATTAGTGAAAAAGCTAATAAGCCAGTGGTGCAGGTCCTAAATTCAAGCCCTGGAGCCTGGGGGGTGGGGGGTTTATCTCTCACCCAAATTCCCTGACCTGGCTTTTGATTGTGGGAACACATGGAACCTATCTGATTAAGAACTACAGTTTAGGTCTACAATGATATCACAGGTCTTCTCTGACCAGTTTATTGTGCTCTTTTTCTTTTTGGGGGGTCGGTCGTGGGGCTTGAACTCTGGGCCTGGGCACTGTCCCTCAGCTCTTCAGCTCAAGGTGAGCACTCTACCACTTGAGCTACAGCGCCACTTCCTGACCTGGCTTTTGAAGAGGAGCAGAACTACCTGGATTCTTCCAGGCTTACCAGCGATGGAGATGTCCTAGCGAAGGGGGTCCTGCTGAACTCACAGAGATGATGCCTGTGGCAGATCGCATCACTGCTGCCCAGGTGAACAGGCCCAGGGCAGAGGCACCTCTGATAGAAGCAGTCTCAGCAAGGAGGGTGGGTGGTGGTCCAATTCAAGACCCATCTGCAGCGCCCCTCACTCTGGTGGCAGCTAAACATACAGATCCTCTAGAGGAAAAACATTCTGGATATACTTCACTGGCAAGAGGAAGTGAGCAGGGCTGGTATTCTCAGGATACACCAGGAGAGGTGGCTACAGCCCCTGCCCTGACAGGGCTAAGGAAACACTAAGGAAACACTCAACGACCAGGGAAGAGTGAAGCCGAGAATGATAAACTGCTTTCCTCACATCTATCTCTTCCCGGGTGATAGAGGGAGGCCTTGGCTTTATGTAGGAGGCTTGGTCATTAGAAGTGAACCCCTATGTTATGGCTGACTTGGCTGGGTGTCCGGGGCCATCTGATTTGATTCAAATGCCATGATATCTACCCCTAGGAAAATCTAAAAAGAGGAAGGAATATTCTGAACTTGAGGGCTGAGAGGCTGATTGTCTGTGCTTGGCAGTCGTTGGAGTTTTCCTTACAGGCTCAAACTTGTTGTTTGGCAGGGAAGGTACTGAGATCGTGGAGGTGGTGGGGGTGGGAGGGTGAGGGGGGAAAAAGGAGTGGGAGGAAGGATGGGGGGAGGAGACTTCTGTGAAAGGAAGAGAACCTGTGCTGTGCCCCAAGTCCTGACTGTGGCCCTCCCCTGGGCTGCTGCATTCCTCAGCCCCAAACACCATTAGTCATCCATCCATTTAGGCGGTGCCATGGGCTTGCTGGGTAGCCAGGAGCAGCCAGCGGAAGCAGTAGGATCAAAGGTAGAGCAGAGGGACCAAGTCAACAATTGTGTAGCCTTGGGCATCTGCCCTACCGTTAGTCATGGGACTCAAGGATGGGGTAAGGAGAAACAGCCATGGAGGCTGAAGCACCAGCCATTCCGAGGGCTAGCCAGGAAGTAACTACACCAGGAAGTAACTACACCAATTAACAGCTCAAAATCCTTGGATTTGCAGCAGTGGTATACCACATGTGGGTGGGGATAGGTGGGAAAAACTGGGAGAGCAAGGGAAGGGGTGACCTTGTCCAAAAAGAAAGGTACTCATTACCTGATTTACGTAACTGTAACTCCTATGTACACCACCTTTATAATAACAATAAAAAGTAATTTTAAAAAAATACTTGGGAAGCTGGGCGCCGGTGGCTCACGCCTGTAATCCTAGCTACTCAGGAGGCTGAGATCTGAGGATTGTGGTTCAAAGCCAGCCTGGGCAGGAAAGTCCGTGAAACGCTTATCTCCAATAAACCACTAGAAAACCGGAAGTGGCGCTGTAGCTCAAGTGGTAGAGCGCTCGCCTTGAGCTGAAGAGCTGAGGGACAGCGCTCAGGCCCAGAGTTCAAGCCCCATAACAACAACAAAAAAAAAAATACTTGGGAGGGCTGGGAAGGTGGCTCAGTGGTAGAGCGCTTGCCTTGCATGCTTGAGGGCCTGGGTTCGATTCCTCAGCACCACATAAGCAGAAAAAAAAAAGTTGGAAGTGGCGCTGTGGCTCAAGTGGTAGAGTGCTAGCCTTGAGCTGAAGAGCTGAGGGACAGCACTCAGGCCCAGAGTTCAGGCCCCATGACCGGACCCCCCCACCCCTCCCCCCCAAAAAATCCTTGGGAATGGAAAACCTCAGATCAGGTCTGTAATTAAGAAGCTACTGAATTAGTAAGATACGAGCATAGGAATTTTATGCATATAATTTTTTTCCCCAGTAATTTATAATCTGATGGCTCCTCACTATTAGCAAAGTTCTTTCTGACAAAGACCCAGATTTCTTCTCAGCTGGGCTGCGGATAAGGCATGATCCTTTCTCTGTGTAGGCTCAGGACCTCAAGTATAGGCTGGGTGCCCATGAGGGCTGCACTAGGTAATATAGTACGTGTGACAATTGAGGTTTCTGCAGGTTTTTGTCCATCTGGAAGTTTCTTTTCTTTTCTTTTTTTACTTTGCTAGTACTAGGGCTTGAACTTAGGGCCTTGTGCTATCATTTGGCTTTTTTTGCTCATAGCTGGTGTTCTACCACTTGGCTACATGTTCAGTCTGTTTTGCTGGTTAATTAAAGCTAGAGTCTCTCGAACTTTTCTGTCCTGGCTGGCTTTCTGAACCCTGATCTTCAGGTCTCAGCTCCTTGAGCAGCTGGGGTTACAGGTGTGAGCCATGGGAGACCAGCTCTATCCACAGTTTCTTTGACAGAAGTCTTAGTCCCTTTCCCTGCTATGGCCTCTTAAGGTCATGATCCAACCAGATTCCTAGCCCAGGCCACCTATTTGCCACACAGGCTTTGGCAGACAGGACTTGTGCTTACTTGTAAATGATTGGAACATCTGCCAGGGGGTTCTGGTGGGATCTTGATTTCATCAGGTGACATGTTCCGGACTCTTTCAGAAAAGGAAGCTGTTGAGAGAACAGAGAGAAAAAAATGCTTTAGGTAGAGGGTAACGGAGCAAATGGAGGGGCAAAATGGATATAAAAACACAAGCATATACAACATTCCCAGGGAGGGATAAGTATTAAATAAATATTGTGGAAACAATAAAACAGGGTATTCGGGTATGGCCTCCTGGAGACAGTGGTCATCCAAGTTGGCCAGAAGGCATTAGCCATGTGCCAATGTGGTGAAGAAGTTCAGGTAGAAGGTACAGATGTAAACAATATGTGCTACCAAGTCTCAATGATTAACTTTTAAAACTATGTTTATTTGTTATTAAGTAGTTGTACAAAGGGCTCCAATTCCAGAAGTCAGTATGAATGAGTACAATGCATCTTGGTTGATGTTACCTCTTCTCTATCCTCCTTCTCCTCCTTTCCCTGTCCAATTCCTACCCACCAGTTACATAGTTCAATTGGTACATAAAGTACATTGAATATAATGAGTGTATTTGCTCATTCTCCTCCTTCCACTCCTCTCCCCTCCCCCATGATTCGCTGTTCACAGGAACCAACAATTAACTTTAAGAGTGTCCAGTGGTGTGCTAGGAAATGCTTAACGACCAGGCATGGCAGGGGAAGAGGAGGGGCATGGTACATAGAATTTGCCAATTCCTGTGGTGGAAATTTTCTTCCCTGGCCAATTTTAAGCTACTAGTGTGAAGTTCCTGAACCCAGGCTGTAAAGAGACATTCCCAGGCTGCTCTGGCATTCCCTGAGGGAGCCCCTGAAGTATCTCTCCTAGAGCTCCAGAAATCAGAGTTGTGCCGTTCTTCTTGTCTCAGAATGACCTAAGTTACAGGAGAAACCATTTTCAGAGTTCCCTAAGTTTTGGTTCCTAGATGGTTTTAAACGGTGTGTACACAGAGACACTATCAACTCAGGATCTTTCTAAAATCAACAAGTCAATCAGCCCTGTCCTGGCCACCTCACTTTTGGCAACAGAAGGCCTGATTCTGAGGAGAAGAACCACAACTCCCCAGGGACAATCCCTTCAGTGATTTGTCCCCGCCCACTCCAGCCTCACCCCTTCTCTCCCTCCCTCCCTTATAGCCTCTGGCCACCCTGGTGACCACACAGCCCTGCTCTGGATCACCGAGACAATGTACTATTTGTTGTAAGACTCTGTCTGTGCTCTCCAAAACATTCTCTCATGAAAAGGACCATACAATAGGCAAACAGTGGATGGAACAGGGTGGGGTAGGAGGAAAGGAAAGAATGAACAAGCTACCACCAATAACATCCAGCAAGTGTTTGCTAGGGACCTACTGTGTGCAAGGTTCTGGCCAACTCAATGCTGAAAGCAGCATTCTGGGCCCGAATGGCTGCGTGGAGAGCAGAGGCTGGCCTAGCACAGCTTTTCTTGGTCTCTCACCCCAGGGCAGGATTTTTATTTTTTAGTCAAGGTCTCACTCTGTTTCCCAGTCTGGCTCAAATCCCTAAGCTAAGTGGCTTTTCTGCCTGAGACTCCTGAGTAGACGGGACTGCAAGTCTGTGCCACCGTACCTGACTGAGGCTAATGTTTTCTTAGAAGATAAGGTGCTTTGACCTCTGACTGTTACTGTGACAAACACAGTACCAAGTGAGGCTGGGGACAAAGTCCCCAAGACTTTCCCAGTGCAGCTGCTGGGGTCCCAGCTGTGCACATTACAAACACACCAAGGCTGGAGGCGTCAAGGTCAGGACTGTTAGAACGCCACTCTATGTGCTGGTTTTCACCCCGAGTGGATACTTGCTAGATACACACCCAAGGACAGAGTACCCATTTAGAGGGAGGGCAAGGGACAGAGAATGAGTGACGTATTAAGGGTCCTGTGGGTCTCAGACACAACTGTGGCCCAAGGGCAGTTTCTAGGCAGGGGACTGTAAGCTTCTCTCTGTGCGGCACCTTCCCTTGTTCTCTTGACTCTTCAAGCCCAGGCGCCACCCAGCTCTGGCTGGAGTTCAAGCCTCAAGCTGACTTCCCCCTTCCTCCCACCCTGGGATGGGCAAAGAAGGTCTAGGCTTCAGGTCCAACAGGCTGCCAAGACCAGCTGAGAGTGGATGCAGCTAGGAAGAGCTGGTCCTGGTTATTGTGGGAGCATGGGCAAGGAGGCCTGGCAGGCACTGGGTGCATAAACAAGGAGGGTTAAGTTTCTTTCCGGCTGGGAGCATGTGTGCATGTGACAGGGAGACAAAGAGTACCCTTTGACATTTGCCAGGAAAACTTTTTAGAAAAACAGGGTGTGGCACTGTTGCCAAAGCAACTCCACCACTCTCTGGGGTATGACAGGAGGAGGGAACCCCTTCTGAGCTAGAAACAAGAGAATTCCCAAGAAGTAACTGAAAAGAATGGAACATATGCAGAAAAGCAAGGTAAGAGTTCACTGCACAGCAGTCCAGGGAGATGTGTTAAGTGATTCTTTTCTCTAATGGAGAACACACGAGCCCCAGGTATCTTGCTGCTGATGAGCAGCCAGCCAAGGGTCTGAAGTCATCTTCCTGGGGAATGCATTGCGCAGTGTGTCCACAGACACTCAGGAGGTAGTGCCTGCATTGGTGCTGGGCCTGCTGGGATGGTCTAGAAGGGTCACGGCGCTTAGACTCTGAACAGGGTGTTGCCAGCCTGAGTCACTCATTGCACATGCCTATAACAATAAACAGCCACATACAGTAGTCACAGCTGCCAGCGAGAAAGCAGAGCAGAGGAGTTAGTCCTCTACGCGTATGGAATGGCAGGGAAGGACAGAGTAAGCAGTTCTTGGGGACTGTAGGATCTGAGGGAGATGAAGCAGGAGACAGTAGGGTGTTTTCAAATTGTAAGGGACACCAAGAGCCACCTAGACAGCCACACCAGCCCCACAGATCCAGGTACCCGTGGGGTATTGGTAAAGCCCCATGTGTGAAGCACAGACACACTCTACAGTGCTGGCCTGTCTTCATGTGAGGAAATGCTACTGATGCCAGGTGAATAACCTAAGTGAGCCTGACGTCAACCACAGGAGCCAAGGTTAGCCTAACAAGAAGGGTACATCTCAAATGGAAGCCACTCTGAGGACATTTTACTGATGTCCTCAGTAAGAGCCAAGAGGAGTCAAAACTATGCAGTGTAAAGATGTGTTTGTGACTCCTGCAGTGCGTGAGCAAACAGTAGTGTTTCCTATGATGAGATACTTCTTAGCAATAAAAAAAAGATGAAAGGAAGGAAGGAAGGAAGGGAGGAAGGAAGGGAGGAAGGGAGGAAGGAAGGGAGGAAGGAAGGGAAGAAGGGAAGAAGGGTAGGAGGAAAGGAAGAACGAAGGAAAGGAAGAAAGGAGGGAAGGAGGGAAGGAGGGAGGGAGCCAGGCATGGTGGTGGTGCATGCCTGTAAATACAACTACTCAGGAGGTGGAGGCAGGAGTTTGAGGCCAGTCTATTTCAAAAACAAAAGAAAATGCCAGATGCCAGTAGCTCACAGCAATCCTAGCTACGCAGGAGGCTGAGATTTGATGATCATGGTCAGAAGCCAGTCTGGGAGGAAAGTCTGTGAGACTCTAACCTCCAGTCAACCACCTAAAAGCCAGAAGTAGAGCTGTGGTTGAAGTGGTAGAGGGCTAGCTTTGAGCAAAAATTAATTAATTAATATATAAAAAAAAAAATCTCAGGGACACTGACCAGGCCCTGAGTTCAAGCCACAGGTCTAGCAATAAATAAATAAATAAATAAATAAATAAATAAGAGGGTTGGAGGCTATAGCTCTAGTGATCAGAACTTACTTGCTTATTAGCACATGTGAAGCTCTTGATTCAACTCCTAGTTTCACAAAAACAACCACCAAAACAAGACAAAGAACATGACCAAACTATACACCAATAGAACTACACTATAGTCTGAGATTTGGAGGATCACAGTTTGAGGTCAGCCAAAGCAGAAAAGTTCACCAGATTCCATTTAAAAAACAAACCACCAGGACTGGGCATGCAGCTTAGTGGTAGAGTGCTTGTCTAGCATGTGTGAAGCCCTGGGTTTGATTCCTTAGTACCACATAAACCAGTAAAAGCCTAAAGTGGCGCTGTGGCTCAAGTGGGTAGAGTGCTATGAGCAAAAGTTCAGGGACAGTGCGTAGGCCCTGAGTTCAAGCCCCAGGACTGGCCAAAAAACAAAAACAAGACCAAAAAAACACCCCTCCCCCCTCAAACCACTATCACCACCACCACCAAAATTAGCTAAACCCCCCCCCCCCCAAAAAAAAAAAAAAACGGGGCTGGAAACATGGCTCAAGTGGTAGAGAGCAAAAACATTAAAAAAAGTGCTCAACATTATGGACAAAGTCTCTAAAGCTTCATTCCAAGTAAAGCAAGCTAGAAAGGAAAAACGTGATTTTGTTTGTACCTGAGGGTGATCTGCTCTCTTAAGAGGACATTTGACAATGCCTGAAGACTTGTTTTGGTAGATCTTGGGGAGGAAGAGAGAACTGGCTCTAGTGTCTAGAGATAAACCCCGCTGCTAAACATCCTATAATGCATAGGATGGTCCCCACAAGAGGGAATGATCCAGTCCAAACTGCCAACAGATCCCAATTTATATATGCAATTCTTTTTTTTTTTTTTTTTTGGTCGGTCGTGGGGCTTGAACTCTGGGCCTGGGCGCTGTCCCTCAGCTCTTCAGCTCAAGGCAAGCGCTCTACCACTTGAGCTACAGCGCCACTTCCGGTTTTCTGGTGGTTTATTGGAAATAGGAGTCTCACGGTCTCTCCTGCCCGGGCTGGCTTTGAACCGCGATCCTCAGATCTCAGCCTCCTGAGTAGCTAGGATTACAGGCGTGAGCCATTTTGAAAAAGGCAAATCTTCCATGAAGAGTAGATTCCCTTTTGCCTGAGGCTGAGGGATGAAACCCAGTGGAGATGCAAGTGGAACCAAAGGACCATTGAGAGGGAATGGCAGTACTGCGCCTCACCATTGCGGTAGGGCTAAAACAATGACATAGGCCTGTCAAAACGCAGCAGGTGCTATACTTAAAAAGCCTGAAGTTTTCTTCTGTAAATTATTATTATTGTTGTTGTTGTTGTTGGTTATGGGGCCTGAGCTCTGGGTCTGGGTGTTGTCGCTCAGCTCTTCAGTTCAAGACTAGCACTCTATCACTTGAGCCATGGCGCCACTTCTGGCTTTTTCTGCTTATGTGGTGCTGAGGAATGGAACCCAGGGCTTCATGGATGTGAGGCAAGCACTCTACCACTGTGCCACTTTCCCAGGCCTTTCTCTGTAAATTATATCTCAGTAATGCATAAAGTGGCTCACAGAAAAAAAGTGCCAAGCTAGCTGTGGAAGAAGATGGGTGTGTGTGCATGTGTGTGGTGTGTGTGCACGCGTGCGTGCGCGTGCGTGCGTGTGCGTGTGTGCATGCGTGTGCGCGCGCGTGTGTAGGCAGGAGGGTGGGGAGACATACACACATCACTAAGCTGACAATGCCTGTGTACATTCTACCCCTTGTCCGATAGTGAGGATGAGAGTGGGGCATGGACAGGTTGCTCTCTCCCCCAGGCTTGAACTTTCTAAGTAAGCAACAGGATCAGATGGGACATGGAGGGGAGAAAAGGCTGTAGCTCCACTACACGCTGCCCTGTGGACCACTCACTAGGGCTAGGTCCTGGGCTTCTGGGCAAATGTGTGCGCTACGGCCTCCTCTGCCCTCCAAGCCAACCGTCACAACTGTCTATAATTCTATTTTCTAAAGAGCTAACTCTAGGGTTTAGGAAAACTCTGTTCTTGTTTTTGTTTTTTTGTGTTGGTCCTGGGGCTTGAACTCAGGGCCTGGGCACTAGCCTTGAGCTTCTGTGCTCAAGACTCGTGCTTTACCACTTGAGCCACACCTCCATTTCTGGCTTTTTTTTTTTTTGGTAGTTAATTGGATATAAGACTCTCATGGTCTTTTCTGCCTGGGCTGGCTTAGAATTGTGATCCTCAGATCTTAGCCTCCTGAGTAGCTAGCATTTTAGGTGTGAGCCACCAGCGTGTCCTCAACAGCTTTTTAAAAGATTAAAAGGCTAGGGGTTGTGGATGGATACATGGTTTTTCAGAAGTGGCTCTGCCCCTCTCAAGTCCGCAAGGGCCCCAGCCATGAGGGCTGTGAGGCATGGCATGTTTCTGCCTTAGGACAAAGCAAAGTGCCAGCATAACAACATGAAATGCTGATGGAGTGGGGAGAAGCGGTACACAGGCAGAGGACTGGCCCAGAGCACAAGTGGAAGAAACAATGACCTTTCTGGCTGAAAGGGGCCCTGAACTCCCTCTTGACAACACTGGCAACTCACCAACACCCCATAAAGTGCACCATGAATGTGATTTTCAAAGAAATGTTGTTGCCTGAGGCTTTCACCCAGGAAATGCCAAAGGCTCCAAGAGGGAGTGTGAAGGGGCGGGGGTCGCTCACAGCAGGGAGATGTTCCAGGATCAGAGCCCGGCCTGGCCAGAGGCCAGCTTGTTTAGGGCTCTCCAGAAGAATACTTACCAACTAATTCCTGGGGATCTCGCTTCTCTACTTCTGTATTATCCTGTAAAAGAGAAACACACAGAGGTAACATTTGGGCTCCTGAGCCATAGCTTCTCTTTGAAACCCTGAGGGGTTTTATAGAAAAGGGAAAAGCTCCGGCACACTAATACTGAGCAGTGCTCTAGGGCCTTCTGGGACCCCAGAGCTTCCTACCCGTGCTCTCTCATCACAGCAACTGTGATGCTCTGGAGTCTCAGGGAAATCCTCCTGAATTCACAACCTCCAGCAGGGAGCAGTACCCACCCACCCTGAAGAGAGCCCGTCCGTGAAGAGGAATCTTGTCCTGGCCACCTGGATGAGCTCTAGCCTACCTGCTACTCCCTGGGGTCAAGCAAGTTTGTCCAAATGTAGCAGACCTCAAGGCTCCAGCCATCTCCTCCAGAGCCTGATCGGAGCTCCAGAATACCACTATCTCCATCCCTGGCAAGGGGGATCGTTTCCAGGGGGACTCCATTATAACAACTAACTCCCAAGACCAAGACTCAAACGGACTGCCTGTGGCCCTGTGATGTGAGTCTTCTTGTTTTCAGTTTAAGAAGTAGGGGGGGTGGGGGAGGGAGACTTTATCAGGAGATAAATAGCCAGTATAGGAACTCCATGGCAAGCCTTTCCTAAGCCTTTCCCCCACCATTGGAGGAGACCTCTCCCTGGCATGTGGCTCTCTTTACACTGGCTTTGTAATGTTTCCCAAGAAAAACCTTTTCCAATACTTAGTGCAAACACTATTCCACGCCAGTTATTTCCATATGTCCTGCAAAAATCTAAACACAAAAGCTTCTTATCAGATGTCTTATTTCACTGCTCGCCAGTAAAGGCCTCATCTAAACCAGATCACATGGCCTCTGTTGTCCCAAAGGGCAAGAACACACTGGCTTCCCTCAATCCCAGTAAGATCAGAGATCTCAAGTGCCACTACAAGCTAATGATCAAAGTGCAGAAGCTGAGCTCACAGAAAGGTGCGGGATCTCATTTCCTTTCCCTTTGCTTAGTGAGAGAGGAGATAGGCCAGTAACAAGCTACAAGATCTTCACACGAAAACAGCCGGATCTCTGGCCTCCACGTGCACAAGGAAATGCCACACCAAACTATCTCAGAAGGAAAGATGTGTGGAGGGTTACCAAATGCTTTCCTAAGGAAACATGTGTGGAGGGTTACCAAATGCTTTCCTAAGCGATAGCCCCATGAAAAGATCAGACTCCCTTCCCCAAATAGTCCCTCCTGATTCAGAGACAGACCTTCTTTTCTGAACACTGTGGCTATTCATTCAAACTACTAGGGTCCATGCTGAAGCCAGGCTGCTTAGCAACCTGCCCCCTGTCAATCAGATGGGTAAAGAGGAAGCTCATCTGGGTTGGAGTAGAGAAGGGCTGAGAGGAGGGCCTGGAAAATTGTCAAGTTCAAGTTGGAGTTATAAATCAACTGCTGTACAGACAGTGCCAGTCTCTCAGGGGCCCAACCACAATCTATTTGTAGCAGTGACTCTGGAGAAACCAATGTTAAAGAACGTGTCACTAACAAAATGTAGGACTATAAAATTTTCTTTCTTTTTAGGGGGAGAATTATTTTTTTTATATTGTCTTTAAATAGTTCTACAAAGAGGCTTCAATTCAATATGCCTATCTGGGAACAATGCATCTTGATCAATGTCACTGTTTTCTGTAAAAATTTCTCACATTTTTCTCTCTGGGGGACAGCTTTCAAGGTGCTAATTGTGGAAAGACATAATTGTATATAATTTACCTCCCCCAATCAGTCGGTCATAGAGGGGACTGATCACTGGCCTCTGAACTCTAAGGGGCCAAACTTATACATTCCCAACGCTCTGTACTTTGCCAGCCTTCCTTCACAGGCAGAAATGTAGAACTGCAAGAGGCCTGCTAACCACTAGAATTCTAATCCAGTGCCCATTCCAGAGTAACAGGAAGTTGGTCTCTAAACTTCAAAGGAAAAAACAATACTTGCTACTTCAGGAGCTCTCTGGCTAGAGTAGGAAGCCAGGAACTTCCCTGTGGCCTCTTGCTGCTTGTGACCATGGAGCTGGTAGGGGATTAGGTATATATGATGATGAGGGGGTAGATCCCACATTTCACAAGAGTCTGACCAGCTTAGCTGAGGTTTAGTCATATCTCTGGAAGAAAAGATACAATGAATCAGCTAGGCACCTGGGGCACTTGGGACTCACCCCTGAAATCCTAGCTACTCAGGAGGCTGAGATCTGAGGACTGCAGTCCGAATCCAGCCTGGGCAGAAAAAGTCCATGAGACTCTTATCTCCAATAAAGTGATCAGAAAAAAAGCCAGAAGTGGCGCTGTGGCTCAAGTGGTAGAGTGCTAGCCTTGAGCAAAAGAAGTTCAGCCTGAGTTCAAGCCTCAGGATAGGCACAAAAAAGAAGTGTGCATAAGCCAAATTTGTAAATGATCCTGAACAGCTTTGAGGCTATCCAAAGCAATGAACTTCAGAATAGCCTTGAAGCTATCCAAAGCAATGAGGTTCAGAAAGTGGCCAGAAATGCTATTCCATAGTGCATTAGGAGGACTGGAGAGTCTAGCAGGGGGCCACAGCTGCCATGTTTTAGAGGCAACTCAGCCACGAGACCACTGAACCCCAGTGACTGTGCCATTGTACTACACTGCTTCTGAAGACAATACCCTGTTTCTGACTCCTAAAGATGCCAGCTGTGCCGAAGGAATCTCACTGAATACCTATCAGGAGCATGAGAAAGTGAAGGTCAAGAGCATCAGCACTTGTTCTTCAATAGAGATGGGTTCAAATACCTCAGAGACACCTTTTAGTTCAGTGCTAGGGTGCTTGCCAAACTTGAAAGACTCTGTGTTTGGGGCTCAGGACAGCAACCCCCATTCTCAAATTTAAATAAAAACAAAACCAGAGATGAGAACCATTAGACCCAATTATCCACTGAAGCAAGTTTCAATGAAAGCATCTTTTCTCCTGGCCATGGCTCAAGAGTCCAGAAGGACATCAGACACCAGTGACAGGGAGAACAGAACTGGGAGGGAGGGTGTCTCATCAGAAAACAAAGCCTTAGCGCACACATGTGTGTGCATCCCCATCCCACCCCAAAGACCCGGAGAGAGACGTCCTTTTATTGATCTTGTAAGATACTAGGAATTTTTTGTTTTGGCTAGTCCTGGGGCATGGGCACTGACCCTGAACTTTTTAGCTCAAGGTTGGTGCTCTACCACTTGAGTCATAGCTCCAGTTTCATCTCTTTTGTGTGTGTGTGTGTGTGTGTGTGTGTGTGTGTGTGTGTGTGTGTGTGTGTGTGTGTGTGTGTGTGTGTGTGTGTGTGTGTGGTGTTTAGTTGGAAATAAGAGTCTCACAGACTTTCCTGTCCCAGCTGGCTTTGAACTGTGATCCTTATTTCTCACGCTCCTGAGCTGCAAGGATTACAGGTGTGAGCCACTGGTACCCCAGCTGATACTAGGAATTTTGTATGGAATGGGACCTAGCATTCACAATAACAACCTTGAAGTTATAATGACTAAATATTGCAAATGACAGAGCAAAGGAGATGGAAATTGACGATTTAATTAACACCGCTGCAGTGAAACCTGCTCTAGGAGTGTCTTACTATGCCCTGACAAAGAGGAAAGGAAAGGGGGAATCATGAAGATACAAGTAAAAAACAAGAAACCACTGTTCCTTTTTCTTTCCTCCAGAGTTTGTATTTCAAAACGCACAGAGGATACCCGTCTGAACTTGTACAGATTTGTCCTTCTTGCTTAAAAGTAATGAAGTCAGCATGGAGATCTTTTTATCAGACAGTTGTCTGCATCAGCTAAGAGGCATGGAACCCACAGCCCAGAGACAAGATAGCCCTCAGGGAGCAGAGACTGATAAAGTCTCACCCCTCTAGGAAGAAGATGAAAACACTGCTCTGGGAAAGGAAAGCAGCTCTAGAGAGAAAAGAAGTCAAACTTCAGCCCCCTAGTTCAAATCCAATTAAGACACAAGGAAAATCATACAACAAAGCCCAAATCCATTGCTCTCCAGCAGCAGGCACTGAGCAAACAGGACGGTAGGAAAGATCAGGGCCCAGATAGTAAGCTGGCCCAAGAAACCTTTCTCTCCCTAGCCTTTACCTGAGACTAAAATCCCAAGAACTAGAGCAGGAGGCAACCTCAGTGTCTGGCGAATAGTGCTGCAAACCTGCCAATTTTGCTTTCCTGCCAATTAGGCTTGAGACTAGTTAAGAAAGAACTAGTCAGTGGCAGGGACCTCTTGTTCTCAGGAATTACAGAACATGGAAATGTGCTCCCTAGTAGAGACTATGAAAGCCTAGTCATTGATAAAGCTGACCAGTGCAAAGAAAGGAAAAATATGAAGCTAAAGGAGCTGTATTAGTATTATTATTAGGGCTGGTTCTGGTCAGGGCCTCCCTCCTCTCACTTGTATGCTCTCTCTCTTCTTTCCTTTTGCCAGTCCTGGGGCTTGAACTCAAGGCTAGCATTCTACCACTTGAGCCACAGTGCCGCTTCTGGCTTTTTCTAAGTATGTGGAATTGAACCCAGGGCTTCATGCATGCTAGGCAAGCACTCTACCACTAAGCCACATTCCCAGCCCTATCACTTGGCTTTTCTGTTCATAGCTGGCCCTGCTACCACTTGAGCCTCAACTTCACTTCCATTTTTTTTTTCCTGGCAAAACTGGAGAAAAGAAACTCTTGGGTTTTTCTGTCTGCATGGGCTGGCTTCGAACTGTAATTTTCAGATCTCAGCCTTCTGGATAGCTAAGATTATAAGCTTGAGCTACCAATGCCTATCTAGAAGCTGTCTTTTGAGCCGAGAAGTTGCAGGTCCTAATGGACAGTATGGCTAAGACAGCAATTCAGGATTAGGTATTCCGAGTTCTACAAGGAAATGATGCTGGTTTGATAGAACCATGGCTTGGGGTGTAGGAGGAGCTGGTGGGCGAGGTCAGGAAATACAATGCTGCTCGGGGGCAGCATGCTCCACAGGCAGTAGAGAGAACCCTGGAGAA